TCTCAGACAACACACAACGTGTGCTACATGTGCACGTTAAAGAACGCATACACTCCTCGGAAAAGAGTAGGGGAATGTCTCCCGGTGTACTGACAAATTCGGCACCAGAAGAACCCTACAGGAAATGCACCAATTGTTGTATGAGAATTGGTGGTTACCTAAAACTATTGACGGGGTGAAGCCCGAGTCTGTTGGACACCAGATTTCGTAGGACGTTGCAGGGGTTCCGATAGAATTCTCAATACAAAAAAATAAGACAAATTGTATTCAGTACGGTACATTTTCAACTGGCTTTAAAATGTGGACCTTTTTCAATTGGGGAAGGGAGTTGGGGACGTACCCAAATCATTATTAAAATACCGGTAACGTTTTATTAACATGTATAATTTCACATATAGGATTGTCAGTTTGAAAAGACATTGAGTGGTGCAACGCCAATAAATTAACAATAAATGGCTTTAAAATGTGGACCTTTTTCAATTGGGTGGAGGGAGTTGGGGACGTGCCCAAATCATTATTAAAATACTGGTAACGTTTTATCAACATGTACAATTTGACATATAGGATTGTCAGTTTAAAAAGTCATTGAGTGGTGCAACGCCAATAAATTAACAATAAATGCCGATAAAACTATTGCATAATCTTTCAGTCAAAAAATGAAGTTTTTACAAAGTTTGGTTCCATTAAAATTGATACAAGCTTAATTTCTGAATGTAATTCTGTTTACTTCGTTGGCGTTAAACTCGATAAACATCTTAATTTCAAAAAACATATCTGACTTAAACAATAATATAAAAAAATCTATTATTAAATAAATCCAATATAAAATTAAAAATAAATTATTTATGAAGCTTAAATACGTCTAAAATGTTAAGAGAGACAACCTTGAGAAAAATATTTGTTTCAAAACTAAAAAAAGTTTGATGCCTATCTATTTATTTTGTGTTTATTTTATATTATGAACTCTGGTGGAGGGTGGGGGCTGAGGGGGTTAGTTAAAAAAGAGGCCAAGCTCGATTAATTGTCTATTTTTGTTGTATACCGTTTGCATGTATTTTTTTTGTGCGTATATGATAAAGAATGAAAGAACAATCAATTTTATTTTCTGAATTGGCATTCCAGGCCTACCTTATGAAAGCATGAATGTCATAAAAATATGGAAATATTATTTTGAATGTATCTCTCACTAGTTCAATCTCTTTTATTTCAGTTTCTTGGATCAAATCTACCGACCCACCAAGAAGTGTGAGATCGATGTACAATCATTATCACCGGAGCACGATGTAGGCCTATATTAAATAGAACCAGAACTCAATGTACTATCATTAGCCGAATTTATGGTCTTTCTTCAAATAATCGCGCGCGGATATTTATTAGGTTTTATACCACTCTGGATCATTGGAATTTAATTAAATTTGCAAGTTATGTTTCTTGTACAACGAACAAGTAATCCTCGAACAATATTATATACTTAAATATAATAGACCTAAGCATTATATTATATCAATTTTTGTGTTTTATCTATAGTCCTATTACGTTCATGTAGTTCTGATGCAACATATGTATGAAATAAAACTCTTGTGTAATTTGAAATACATCATTGTGTACTTCCTTTGTCGTAATTGCATTAATAATATATATTTCATATCAATCAGTATATAATCGAATTATAATCAGTTTCGAATCGAATATACCAGTATTATAGGCTACTACTATATCTTATAAACACTAATACTTCCAAGTATTTACATGATAAAACAAATTACGAAAATTTTCAGAGCAAGGTGCCGTCGGATTTTACAAAACAGGAAATGACGTCGGTTGCTAAGCTACAGCTAATGCATATTCAGTAACACCTGTGCTCATTAGACTAACAATAAAAACTTTTAGCTCAGTTTTGACAAAATCGACCAAAAAGATTTTATTGTTAGTCTAATTAGAACAGGTGTTACTGAATATTCATGATATGCATGAGCTTGTTGCTTAGCAACCACGTCATTTCCGGTTTTGCGTCTTTTGATTAGGGCGTCCTCGAAAGAATTTCATCTGGATTTCATAGTAGTATATGCAAAGTAAGGTAGCTAATATTGATGAAGCAATTCTTCACTTTTGGTTTAAGCCTTTAAGGATATTTAAGCTATTGAATGTATTACAGATAAACACGGACATTAAATAAGATGAGAAGAAATGCATAATTCCATTTGATATTTATTTCCAAGCATTGAAATCAAGTTGGGATATATGTATACTTAGCTTATATATACGGTATATATAGACCTATATATATTACATACATTCGGGAAAAATCAAGACCTGAATTTAATCCAAAAAATTGTATATATTACATATCTTACATATGTCTATATTCTTTGCAACAATATTACGGTTTATTTTCTCCGTTATTAAGATAAACATCAGTATTAATAATACAATATTAAACATAAAGCCTACAAGAATTAATACATATTTCTAACATTATTTTTTAGATTTTTGCAGAGGAAAATATTTTTTAAAAAATCACACAATATTTTATTTATTTTTATATCCAGAATTTGTGCAGGAAGCTTGATTATTGACAACATTTATGGCTATATATAATATTAGTTGGTAAGCTCTGTTGCCCATTCACGATCGAGTCCGAACAGTCTTTCCTGATATTTGTGTATTCCTTGTCCACCACTATGGAATAGAAAAATAGTGAGGAAATAATTAGAAACACAGAAAGAATTATAATGAAGTATTAAAAACATTAAATTTAAATAAAAATTAGTGTGCACCCCAACCTTAACATTACCGTATTCAGCAATGTATGGACAATGCTGCTGATACAACAGAAAAGTAGGTCCTACTTCATACTTCTCATATCAGCATTACCATTATAGTATCATGATATCAGGGAATGAATGAGGATTAAAACATACATGGTATTGGGTAGGCCTAGTAGATTAGTGATATTAGTGTGAATAACATTCGTTTGTTATGTGTAAATAAAATGTATAAAAAGTGTACCATTCGATAGAAATGAATACGGTATATAGATTCATAAATACAGTATATTCAAACATTTGATATAGGCCCTGAATATAATACTATAACTATATCTTCATACAAACATTTTTTATGATATAATTTTTATCGACTGATTGATTGAATTTATTCGATACTCAACATGCACAAGCAAGATAATAAATTGTGAACAAGGAAAGTGAAAAAATTATTAAGCATCAGGAAGGCCCATTATGCCACAGTCTAACCCATTTCATGTCATGAGCTGCAGAAAGATGAAAAATTTAATTCCATAATCGTATATTTATATTTAAGTTGTTAAGTTACAATTAAATATCTGAATGACAAAAATTTTTCCTGTCAATTAACAGGCAGTTAAATACTACCTTTGCTATATACTTAACAGATAAATTAACTGCTGATTATATAGACCCTGAAATTGGCATGGTAGTGTCAATTTAAGGATTTTTGTAGAATAAAAATGTCCGTGAATCAAGAAAAATAAAATAACAAAATGCCGTTAACAAGTTACTCTGACCGGGGTCGGAAACAAGGAACTGTCTAGAGCTCGGTCAGGGTCCCGGAATAAAAGCTCTTGGGTGTGGTTCATGGGGAGAAATTTGCGGCTTAGATCGCTAATATCTAAGCTTTTTGACCACAATTTAAATGGCTGTCAAAATGGTATTTTTTTTCTTTTTTGGATCGGCATATTTTAGTCGTCTAGTCGCCGATGGGGGTCGATGAAGTTATAACTCGGACTACAATTGACATATGTAGCCAGTGGCGGATTCAAGCTCCTTAAATTATTAAAAATTATTTTTTTTAATGGAGAAAAAAGGGCACATTGTATTCAATTTTAGTCATTTCCGGCCATCTAGAGCAGCGGTTCCCAACCTTTTGCATTCGCGAACCCTTCAGGATATGTCAAAGTTCTTCACGGACTTCATGTCAAAGTATTACTCATATCGATTGTCGATCGATGATTATCGATAGAAGATGATTCATCACGAAAATACAACATTAAACAGTGGCGGATCCTGGAATTCGGAACGAAAAACTCAGCACGACCATAGTTAAAGCTGAGGTCGAAATTGTTATTTTATTTTATTTTTCTTTTTTTTTGTGTGTGTGTTTGTATTGCACTGCTACATGGCCGGAAATGGCAATGTCAGACTCAAAATTTGAGTAAAAATTTCTTTTATTCCCCATTTATTTTCATTTTTGTAAAATGTAGGGCGAATCATGGTTGATATTTCACCAATAAGATTATGGATAGAAGATGATTCGTCACCATTAAAATGAGGTGGATCAAGTTGGAATTCGAATAAATAGAGGGGTGTCAGAAAGTCATTTACAGATATGGGGCCGGTACCACCTCAACCCCCTGCCATGGTTGGGGCCTATGGTACAATAAGTATGGCACTGTAGGTGGCCGGAAATGGCACTGTCAGACTAAAAATTGTGAAAGTGATTTTCTTTTATCCCCCATTTACTTTTGATTTTGTGAGTAAGGGCCCCTCCTGATAATTTCAATTTACTCAAAAGGTATCCAGGTAAAAGGAATACAAGAGAAAAAAATACAAACTAGATTTTCATTACTATACCTGATGATTAAGTGGCTCTCCTGTACTAAACATCACTACATAAATCATATGATCTGTGCATAAAGCATACAATATAATATAGGAATTGAAATAATATAATGCCAGTTAAAACAAATTACAGTGAAATAAGTCTATGCCTATGGAATCATGAACAATTGGTCTAAAAATATCCCAACATTTTTTGCGAATCCCCTGCGGACCCCCAATAAAGGTTGAGAAACACTGATCTAGAACATGGAGGTAAAGAATAATATGGAAAATATTTTTTCCGGGTATAACAAATTTCGATTATTCATAATTAAAATTTGTGCACCAGATAATGAGAGGATTCTTCACAATAAAATGCATATAATGTCAATTAGAAAAACAGATAAGAATCTACAGTGTAAACAACGAACAGAAGTAAATAAAGCAGTAAATGAGGTTTCTTTAACAAGTTTCAGGAATTTGGTGGTTTTTTTAGCGAGTCACTATGCTGTCGTAGAATGCAGTAACGTCAGTGCATACCTCAAAAAAAATTGCCAATGCCTTTAATGCCTAACAAACTTAGTCAAAATAATAACCATAGTACTGTATGATGACAGAATTACCATTTAACTATTGAATTAACGATACAAAATGTTCAATAATGTACTCACATTTGTTATTACTTTAATTGAAAAGTCCCCTTCGTATAGTCTTCCAACCGTACACACTATTGTCTATATTTAAAACGCCACCTGGTGAGGTATCAAAACAATTTATTCATTATTCTTTTTCTAAATCGCCATTCCTTTATGACGATGAGGATGGTTATAATGATATAAATGATTATAAGATGATGACGATGGTGGTGGTTATGCTGATACAGTATTGAAGATGCTGATGGTTGTTGATGTTGTTGGACTAAAAATTTTTAAAAAAATTAATTTGCCTATCCATTTAGGACCAAATTAAGCCATTAATACTCTCCCCATGAACCCAAACAAGGAATTTGTTTATATTCCAGATCGTCGACCGAGGCTTCATCGTCGCCTTGGTTCGGACCCCTCCGTCGGACACGTCGGACCCCTTGTCGGCAAATTTCTGGTGCCAACGCTGGATCAGTAGCGTAGCTACGGGTAGTGTAAAGCACTGGGACCCAGGGCAATTAGGGGCCCACTCATAAAAAGACCAAAATATAAAAAATAATAATTTAAAATAATTTCCAACTTAATTTTGAAGAAAAAAAAACGACCAGCGGGCCCCTCAATAATATTTGGTTTTTAAGTAGTAGTAATTATTGATTACTGTGTTGATTTCAATTAACTGGTGTATTCCAGGGGCCCTCAGCTAGCCGGACACCCACCACCCCTAATTTTAGGAAGGTAAAAGAAGCATTCTTAGATTAATTTTCTGAGAACTTTAGGGAATTCCACTATCACATCATAGGGCCAGCTATTAATCTTGCACTGGGGCCCTTTCGCACCTAGCTACGCCGCTGATGATGATGGTAGTTGTGGGGATAATGATGTTGATGGTAATGATGACGATGATGTTGATGATTGTTGATGATGATGATGATAGTTAATGATGATGGTAATGATAGTGGTGGTTTGATGATGATGATGTTGGCGATGGTGGTTTTCATGGAGATGATGATAATGTTGGTGGTGGTGGTGATGATGATGATGATGAGGATGATAAGGATGATGATTATGATGATGATGACGTTGATGATGCTTGTGGTGGAGATGATGATGGAAGTGATAAAGATGATGATGATTAACTTTATATCCTGTATCCGTAGCGGGTCTGCAGCTTAACAGCAAAATGTTTATAATATGTGGTGTAACGCCCATGCGTTCTCATGCGACGGTCCGCAGGGCCCCAAATTCTAGGGGCCCCGAAGGGGCCCTACCCATAGGTTCCTCTACCTAGCACCCTGACCAAAAAGGACTTTGTTGATAAATAATACCATAATGTGTCTCTGAAATCGACTGTAGGGCATATATCATATTATAATGATTAAAGAGAAGCCTGGGACCCCACCAAATTTGTCAAAAAAAAAAAAAAAAACTAAAATAAAAATTGAGATAAAAATTATATTCACAATTTGAAGTCTGTGAGTGCAGTTTAGACGTGCCATAGTAATACATATTCTTATCTCAGTCCTACAAGGGCAACGGCATAATGTGTGTCTGAAATTGACTGTACTATGACATATCATATCCAGTGGCGGAATAAAGAATGTGGGGATGGACCACTTGCAAAAAGCTTCCAACATGGGTCAAACCGATATCAGTGGCTATGGCTTTAGAAGCAGACCCATTGTCGAAATTCATATTGCAATAGTGCTTTATAAACACGCTTCAAAGTGCTTGGTCACTTTCGTCCGATAATGTACTTGATAGCGTAAAACAGCAGAATAACAAGATGCAACTCAGTTTCTTTGGTCTGTGTTTATTTATAAATGTTTACTCTTACAATTAGCTGATGTTACAAACCTTGTAAAGTCAAGAAATTCAGTCAAATGGGCATTTTTTTTTTAATAGCCTAAACATGGCTTTCAAATAAACATCCACATCTAAAGTCCATCTTGGTTAATTCACTTTAAGGAAGGAACAAATTTTGATAAAATAGTGTGAATCAATCTTCTTCGTATTATTCTAAAGCTCTGCTCAGACTATCAAGTTTTATTTGACAAAACATGTGACATGCCTAAATATAGTCATGATGGTATCACATCATGACCATATATAGGCACATCATGACTATATATGGGTGTAGACCAGTTTTTTGTCAAGAGAAAACTTGATAATCAGGACAAAGCTTAACATATGAATTGTTTAAAATTATTTTTACCATGGCATTTGTAAGCATGGGTAAAACTCATATCCTAAATCCAACCCTCAATAACGCTCAATATCACACACGATTCACTGGCTTTAAAAATATTGTTCAAGTTAAAGGATTTAAATGGTTTATCTGAATTTCAAACAGGTTTGCTATTTTCTAATTTAAAAATAAATCACAAACAAAATTTGACCAGGTTATAAAGTATTAATATCAAATACCTGTTAAAAGGGGGAGCTAATATACATGTATAATTATATATCTGTATCATGCGATTCAAGTATTACGATACAAATAAAATTTATTATTGTTCCAGATGCATAATATATTCATATGCAAGTTGTCGTGCAATGAAAATATATTATGTAAACATCAGATAATAAATATACATGATATATATATCTATTATATACAATATACTATATATAACGTATGTCTGCAGATATTTTGTATATGCAGCACATAATACACATTGAAAATGACATTATGTACGTACATTTGGAAAATTAGAGTACTGTGCTAAACATTGGTAAACTTTATTTGTATTTTTATTGTTATAATGGACAAATTATATCTATAAAATATTGAGGGGAATATCTAGTCTATTTTTATCATTACATGATATTTTTTAAATAAAAATTTTAACTGACAAGGGACTAATATTATATAGTTTGAAATTGTCCTATTCTGAATATTAATTAAAATAGAAATATCAATGAATAACCTATTGCTCGCCCTTCATATTAAAAAAATTTGGGTCTTTCTAGCTAAAGGCACCAACAACGTATAACCATCTCTATAACTTGATATGTATTTTACACTAAGTCTTGCATAAAGGCTATTCTTTAATGGAATTATAAACAACATATATACGATAAGCAATTAAATTTTACAAACCATCTTCAAAATACAGTAGTAACTATTCTTAACAATTCAGCTTTTATTCACTGTAGCCCAATTTACAAGGCCATTATGCAACACATATCAATTTATATATACTCTACCATACTACAAATTTAAATAAATGAATTGAAATAATATATTAACTGTAATAATACAAATCATAATATTGTAATGTATATATACGCAATTAAAATAGTAGGGAGAAAGGCCTTTATGATTACATTATTTCACATTAACTATAGAAAAGTTGATATGTCAGTACTATCAAAGCAAAAATAGACTCATAAAAGGTAGGTACAGAGAAACACACTCTACGATTATATTGCAAATTTCCCAACGAACACCAATTCTTATACTGTACTGCCCCAAACATTTTCCGTCTGTTTTGTAATCTTGCCCAAAAATAAATGCTTAAGGTGAGGATGCATCATATTTATCTGTTACAGGCCTGCCCTATGTACTGTAGTTTGTTTAGGGGTCGTGCATCTACTTATAAAACAGCATGGAGTCCCAAAGTGGTGTAGATTCTTCTTCATTTTAATTATCCTTAATATATTCATGTTATGTAATAATTTCATATCAATATATATAATTTTGTATTCATTTCTAAATAACCTTTGACCTATATGAAAAAATAACAATAATAATATATTATAATTAATTGACATTCATATACATAGGCCTGCACAGTGTTTGAGGAAATTTATTCTATTAACACAATTATTTAGCAAATATGAAACGATTTACAGAATATTCAACCCAAAAAAAATCTATTTATAGATTTCCATTACCAGATACACATCCCAGCCACAAAATTTAGTGAAGAATTTTTGAAATGAAATGTTTAATATAATTGGATATATAAATGAGAAGTGCTTGAGGTTTTCTCTTGTGATTACAATATGCATAATACTCATTTTGAGTTTACCACTGAAAGAGAATGACAGACTCTACCACACTGTAAAGTAATTTCATAAATTAAAAATTACATTTTGAATAGCCAAAGCAATAATGTATAATATATATTTCTTTCAATACAGTGAATTGAAGATAAAGGTTTTGTTTTTGTTAGTAATAATCTATCCTAATCAAACTACAATTAAGTTCAAGTTCAGATATATTTCCATTCCATTTCAGACAAAATTTACAAAAAAAATAACATGGAGATACACAATGAGAATTAATGATTGCTTACTTAACAATCTCATAAAAATCCATTTACCAAAAATTGTTGAAATTTTGTCATTAGCCATAAAGTAGTAATTACTTCTTAATTATGAAGAAAAATCTTATATCTTAAATCTTAATTCAAAATCTTATACACATTGGATTGCAATACTTTTGAGTTAAAGATAATGAAATAAAATTAATCAAACTGTCTGAACAATCTCAATCAATCATATTCCTTATATCAAATTTGAAAGATTTTGGATTTGGTTCTTGCCTCATTGTTTGATGAGTATTATATTTGCACCCAAACTTTGAATTCGTAGTCCTACAACGGTACTTTCTCTTCGGGCAATGGGGTACCGCTGTCTGTTTTTGTGGAGGATCCATCTGCATTTACTTGCTCCTCTTTCACAGTAGTATTCAGAGTCTCCTCAAACGTTGACAAGTCTTCAGATTTTGACCCTGTGAGTTTATTCTGGAAGATTTAAAAAAAAAAATTACAGTATGTGGTCAAAATAGTAAGATAAACTTTTAGTTGTCCAATATCAATACTGTATATTAATACAGGTATGTTTATTTGTTTTGTACTATGGAAATGAAATTCTGAATTAAAACGATTAAATATGAATTATTTCATAGCACTAAAATATAACACCTTATTTATCAAGATCACACTAAAAGTGATGCTGTATATGTCCATTTACTGTTGAATAATACCATGTTTAAAAATATCTTTAACGCAATATGAACAATGACCTAAATAAATAAAAAATGTTTGCGAATATTAAATGTCTGGAAGATTCTCAGGCACTATGTAAAACATGAGACAGACAGCACTTAAAATTATTGATAGAATGATGACAATACTTATGAATACTGTATATGTAATAAAGATAATTATAATTCAATTCAATTCAATTTTATTCAAAGCTACAAATGCCATCAAGGCCAATATCCGCAAAAATTACATAACACAAAAGCAAACATACATTAAACATACAAAACACTGGAATTATTTACAAAGGACTTAGGATGGCGGATTCCGGAAAAAAAGGAAAAATTGTGTTTAAAGGTTTAATATGGAAACGATAAGTTCAGGCTTCAATAGGGCGGAGTCAATAGAAAGGCATTGTGACAATAGCCGTGTTTATAGAGCCGTTTGCTATCAGATAAGCAACACCGATGATCTCCAGTCGAGCGTCTACATGATAAAAAAAATTATCGGTTGTACCAGAAGTCACATGATTAGAACTTAGTGATCTGCCGTGTAACAAGGCTAATGAAAGTGAGTAGAGGAGAAAAGAAGAGGAAGAAAAAAAGGAAGTACGTGTTGGAATAGGCAGGAAGTCATTGTTGTACTAACAGCGATATGTCAAATTCATTATATATACTTTATATATTACCAACCTTAATATTTCCTGAAGCATTTGACACTTTGCTTTCAAAGGATTTAAAGGCTGTGGATTCCTTCATTTCTCCGAGTTTCTTGGAAATGGATGAACCCAAAGTTGAGAACGCAGCACCAGTCTTTTGACCAGCAGTTGAGAGACCAGTCTTTGTCTTGTTGTACCTACAATTAAAACAATTTACAAACTCATATAATGAACTGGTGTTAAGATATATTCATCTATTATCAACATATTGTATTTAAATACAGTATATGGAAGTTTTATTACACAATGAAGGAACAATGGAAGCAAGAAAAATCATTAAAATCACTAAATTTAATATCCCACTGGAATATAATAGCTCCATAAAATTACAACCACTATTTACAGTATAGAGGTTGAACGTATGCAGGCTTTTATTGTGTTACAAATTAATAAAAATAAAATTATTTTACTTAGTTATATACTAAGACGACTGCAAGTATAATTCGGTGGAAGGGCAATAACTGGAAACATGGTGCTCCGATTTTCAGATTATACATTGGTTACCTATTAATGTCTTCAAAACTATTCATAGTACTTGTCTACTTTTTCTCTTTTGAGTTCTCATCAGCAACCTACTTATCCTTTTAAAACTATTCTCCTGGTAATAATTCATGTAGTTCTACCAAAAGATTATAGGTTATATGTTATTCAGGCTTTTTCTATCTCCTTCCTAAAAAAAGTATGCATTTGTGTTTGTTATTGTGCTCTAAACCATAATTATATCAATTAATACAGTACAGGTACTTGCATATTATATAATTTATTGAAAATCAAAATGATTGAAAATTATTCTAGGGATATGAAATAAATCAGAATGAGTGCGACATATTTCCAAACACAAGTCTTCCTCCAATTACAGTCCACTTTTAAGGACCAGTTTTTTCATGATCTTATAGCAGCTCTGGTCTCCAATTAAAAAAACAATTATCATAAAGATAAGATATGTTCATTCAGGGCTTCAGAAAAGTAGTCTAAATTGGAGGCAATCTTTAATTAATAGAGAGAAACAATTTTATATCAAAATTTCATTTGCAAGGTAGGTAAACTAATTAAATTCCATGTACAGGTATCACCATGTGTTAAAAAAATATTGTTTTTGAGTAAACCACTTATTTGTTGTCATACTTACAAACCTGTGTCAATTCTAAATACAGTACAGAGTGCAACATGTATAATTTCAATTTAGTTATAAATTATGCCCATCACCTTCATGCATCCTCATTAACAATTAAAAAAATAAACTATTAAACCTTATTTCATAATCATTGCAATAATACTACAAACAATCATGAAAAACAACTCTCATGGACATTAAGATAATCAATTATTACTGTACAATAATAATAATAATAATAATAATAATAATATTAATAATAATAATATTAATAATATTGATAACAATAACAATAATAATAATAATGATAACAGTAATATAACAACAATATTAATAATATTTTATAAGGATACAACATTCGTCACTATCTCTTACGTAATATGGTCAGTGTAAATAACAGATAAAAGTACCTGATATAGAAAGGTAATTTTTGGTGCCTTTCCTTCTGTAGTGGATATATGCGCTTTATAAATCTTTATTATTTATTTATTTCAAAATGATAATAAAAAAATAGTATTGGCATATAGATAACCTGAGTGAGTGACACATGTGACCATAAGAATGTTCCACCACCAAATTGTAATTTTGCAAGTTTCTGGTAACACTAGTAACTAAAACGTGCCACCCAAAAAAGACATGAAACACCCCATGTAACCCCATGTGAAAGCAAATCATGAATATTGTATGAAAAAGAATGATTTAGTAAGCATGCACACAAAATATTTTTAAACAAGAGTTTTAAAATTAGTAAACAAATGTAAACAAGAGTGTAAAAAAAACATTAAAAGAAATTAGTAAAAGAAAAAAGAAAAGAGAAAACAAATAAATGTCAAATTAGAATGAAAAATTGAGCGATTGTGACATGGTGAAAACTCACGCTTTAGAACTTTTCACATTGCTGTTCCATTTCTTAATGCGAAAACTACTCCTCTGGTAACTGTAAGGGTGATTTGAGACATAACATGCAAAGTAGATATTCTAATCCTATACAGATGATCATAAATCTACTCATATACTACTGTAAATATCATGTTTCTAGTACCATACTGTATAAGCTCTTCAGGTATATTAATCCCACACCACGAAAAAAATTGAAGACCAGAAAACCCATCTAACCTGACCCACCATTTTACTGTACTAGAGTCGCCACCTGGAGACAATCTTCAGGTTGTACTGTACTGCATTTCTTAACATGCACATTAGACCAGTGGCTTTATCTCATTCGAAAAAAATAAATACGGTACATTATTGAAACATGTTTCAGCCCTAATTTGAAATACAAGGGGACCAGTGGATGGAATTGAACCAGGGTTCAATAAGATCTCCACAGTTCAGCATACACACAGTGGTTACCACGATTTATATATAATATTTGTATATTATAATATTCACTTTTTTTTTTTATTTCTAGTTTAATTAATTACAGAGTGAATATGTGAATGTAATTTCAAGGGGATATTGGCACTTGATGGCATTTGAAGCACGCAATAAAACTGAAATGAATTGAATTTCAGCTGACTGAGCTAAACTACTTCCTCCTCCTCCTCCCTCAGTTCCCAATAACAGACTACTGTACCATACAAAATTATAGAAAGCAAGTTGTGTTAGATATAAAGTGCAGCAATGTTGAACACATTGCACCACCACTTTACGAGCTCATTTAATATAAAATTTGCATAAGTTATTGAAGGATAATCTTGAGAAAATTTTGACAAAATCCCTGGTGATTTTAATTAATGAAAATTAACAAGCAGGTGCATCATGTTGTTCATGGCATCAAAGTAACATAGATAATCATTAATTTGGCAAAAGCTGGGATGAGTCATACAAACGAAGTGTGAGAATGTACATTAATTTAGTTGTTTAAAAGTTGATATATCATTCACAGTTTTATACTTTTTTTATTTATTAATATTGATGGCAAGAAAATTGACCTAATTCAAGGTTGCTACAAACATAAAAGCTCAGGAGAGAATAAGGAATTCAATAATTTGCTTGTATTTATCCCCTACTTAAAGGAGGAAATGTAATTAGATACCTATGTAATAATGCCATTAATTGAATTACATTTTTTGTGTACTGTAATAAAACTGGTATTCAATTTCTATTACGTATTTTCACATAAAGCCAGTTTTTCTTTAGTTTTTTTTATTACCAACTTGATATGCAGTCCTAAGACATCAATTTAAGGCATACAGTACAAGGTTATAATGTCACCTACATATATTTTGCTAAGCCTTGCCTTGTTGGATATTGTTGCTAAGATCCTGTAAACGTACGTAAACATGTGCGCTTGTAGAACAGCACATGCAGTTGTGGGAAAATCACCCCTTCATAGACCAATTCTGATTGGCCAGTTGTAAAATTTGATTGACACTATGGAAAGGTCTAATAAAGCAGGTGTAAAGCTTATTTTCCACTAAACGAATTCATTTGGGAGGATCAAAAGCGTCGTTCGCTTCCTGAGCTCTGGTTGGCTGCGCATTTTTTTCACCTCACAAAAAGTAGAAAAACTACAAATTTTGCTGAAGCGAAAACTCCGATAGAAATGTAAATGCGCATGCGCATGAATGACGCTATTGATTCACACGAATAATTTCGCCTGGTGGAAAACCAGCTTAAGACTAGCTTTACTCTGACAACACAACATTATTTTATGTAAATTACATCCTAAATGTGATTTTTCTTTTCCCCACTGACAAAAAATATTAGCAAGGCATGCAATATTATACAGATGAATTTGGTATTGAGAAATTTAAATCTGCCCATCTTTAATAACACAAATTTGCATCTTTAATTCTGCTTGTTTAGATTTATTCGAAACCTAAGCCAAGACCACATATGAGTTACACTGAGTCAAAAGAAAAAAGTTGAACAATTGTTATAGAGCAAATATTACTGAATTTCAAACAAATTATAAAAAAATATTTATTTAATTAAAATATTCTCCACAAAAATTAATCTAAAAGATGAATTCCAAGTAATAACATAGATGTAAGTTATGGAGTTATTTTAAAATTGCTGCGCAGTTCTTCTCAACTACACTTATTATTACTGTATGTTATAATGTTAAAAATGAAACCAAGTAAATGCGATGACATAAAAACTGCAATCAATAAATAAAAAGAATAAATATTATAAATCTTATACAATAGATTTTTTTTTTACATCCACCACTCCCCTGTCTTTGATTTTTGATAATTTATGACAATCTGATCCAAAAATAACAACCCAGACACTGAGGGGACAGTCTAACATTACAAAACATGAAAAGGAATAGGGTATAAGTCAATATCAATGCTGAAATATTACAACTCCAATACAATGATTTAATTAAGCCTACAGAAATTTTACCAAATTGGACCAGCAATGTCAATTCTTGGTTACTTTATAAATTTATCTCCTTGGGTATATAAAAATGATAAATCTGTTTTATACAATGTGTTTTACAATACGGATATTGATAAAACTAAAATATTAGAATACTAAAGTATGCAACTAGATCAGCCAAATAATTGACAGAAAAATTTAGTAAAGAACATCTAATCTGACAGAATATTGTTCATCAAAATGATGGTAAAGTTATCCATAAACATTGATTTTTATGTGGGGGGGGGGCATTTGGAGGGTAGCTTACTGTACTGTCAGGGCATGCCTCAGACTGTATAGTAAGACCTAGTGGAGAATGCATCCTCCGCGCAAAAATTTGGCATAGAAATCCTATTTCCATGCCAATTCTGCAGACAATTAGGCTTTGACCTTAAATCTTAAAATATAAACATTGTATTATGCAGTAATTACAATTCTGCGCACCTATTTTCCTATTGATTTTCCGCACAAATTTTCTGGTTTTTGGTATCATCTGCGCAATTAAAAAACTTTACAGTATGGGGCTTTGCCAAGTTTATATCCTAGAAGAGCAGTTTTTCAAACTCTGAATGAGACAACTTCTACAATATGGATTTTACAGTATCTTCTGGCCTACTCTTGATTCAACAATTCCCTCCGGTGGTTCTTGCATATCGGTGTATATCCCAGTCGCTTGATTCAAATTTTAGAAATACATCATGTGGGTTCTCTGCAACCACTGATATTTCATGTGATGAAGTTGAAACATTTAATGATTTACGGTAATAATAAACTCTTAAATATTTTTATAGTCAGAGAATTGGAATTATGAGTATTAACGATGCCACAGTCATTGGCAAGATATTAAAACTTGATGCACCGCAAAATTTTTTCACATGCATGATGTTATCTAGCAATGCAATACACTACCGATGCTATGGCATCGATCTTGTAATCGTTCACATGCATGATACTGTATATTTTTAGCAATGCAACTGCAAACAATGGAATGGTTAGCAGTGGTTAGTAAAAAAAGTGCCATCATAAAGATGAAGGTGATAGTGGAAAAAAAGATTACCAACTAAAACAAAATTATGGTTATCTTCCTTATCTATTTTTTGTTTTGCATTTTTTTTTTTTTAATTGATGTTAGTCACAATCCATGTGATGATAAAACATGCTTGGTGAAATTGGGCAATAATATTTATATGGCAATATTTTAAAAATATTATTGTATAGTAATTTTGAATAAGTGATATTGCTTATCAGAATCATCGCAAATAGATACAAATCATGCCCATTTTCATCGTTCAAAATGTAAACACTAAAAATGGATGAGTTGTCGAGCAGTGAGAGACCGTGAGAGCAGCAGATATGTATTCTTTTTTAGTGATTTCAGTTATGAATGCTAAATCGCAATAAAACCGAGATGAGTCCGAAAAATGTAGCAGCACAGCAGATGTGAACAAAATTGAGTAAAAACACTTACGCTGATGATGTTGTTATTCTTTCATTGATTTCATGTAACTTATTAGATGTATTTACATATCTGTGAAATTGAAATAATATAGCATGAAAACTTTGTTAAGATTTAAACAATGACAAGGCTGTTGCCTGGTGACAGTGATCTTCCGTCCATTTTTGTCAGCTGTGCCTTCTACTGTATTGTATCCTAATAATATACCAGTATAATAGATTCTTGCACTTCACTTTATCACTTACTGTATTCACAATAAGAAATACAGTATACATACTTAGCTCCTTTTGGGAGTATTCCACATTATTGTCAGCACATCAATATTCAGACATATCAAGTATACAATATTCTACTGGGCAGAGACCAACATGGATAGAGTGCCTTGCCCAATGACACAAACAATTAGCCCCCAGCCTCAGATTCAAAATCCTGATCAACTTATGATTTAATCAGCTTAACTTGTACATTAAGCATCCAATATTTAAACCATAGTTTGATTTTTATGTATACAGTACATTTAATATTTATTAAGTAAATCATTTTTAGATTACTTACAATACAAGATCATTACAAAACCTATTGACAATACTTTGGCTTTACCAAATTTTGTGGTGATCATGGGTATATCGTAGATGGAACAAATTTATTATTAGTCTTTATTTAGATAGTGGTACTTTTTTTCCAAACTTATGTCAGTGATTTCCCAATTTTTCATTTTTTGAATATTAATGTAATGTATAAGTATTTGGGATAAAAAGTAAAACATTAAAAGCTTTATTCACCAGATAATTAGTGATTCTGAATACAGTATGTCAACCAGTGAATGTATTACAGTAGATCCTATTACTGACTGTGAAACACAGACAGAAGAAAACAAGAGACAATCATGGAGTAAAATGATGAATAATCATATCGACCTTGCTTTTAAATTAAATCAATATAAGATCACATGATTACAAAACAACTCACTTCAATGTATAATATGAAATTTGATGTTTTGCAGGGCAGTACTATACTTTATACAGCCATGATAATTACTACTAACTAGAGTTTGTTGACAAATAGCATTTCTTTTTTTGTACCTGCCCCTCCCCCCTGCCTAAAATTCGATATGTGAAAGTCCTTCCCTGGGGCCCCTCTATTCCAAATTCCTGGATCCGCCGCTGTACATCCCTTTAATATAACAATACCTCATTCCTCATATTATCATTACTACTGACTACTGTACGTTTCACCTAAGCACAATATCCATAAACTGGTTCCTATGTAGTCTTTATTACATGCTTGTCTAACTATAACTACTGAGGAAGATAACATGATTTCAATTTATCAGTTCAGTGCCAGTTAAAATAACATTCCTATGTATTTATCTGATTTTATTTGTATTTCATCTAAGTTTTAAATTATTTTTTAAAAAAGCAAATTTTAAGCACATAAAAGCAAAAAAAAAATATATCAGATACATGTACTGCCACATAAATGAGCTATATTGCTTCAAAATAAATAAAAGTTACTTAAATAAAATACTGAATAAAACTGTGATAATTACATTTTTACTGCACAATTATCCTGAATATTTTTAGAGTACTTTACAATCACTGATTTGTCTCCTGGGATCCCCACTGCTGACTCTTGTTTCAGAGTTACCGTAATGTGTTCTACTATATATTGTCAGTTGTTGTGTTAACTCATTTTGGAATTTGGGTTTGAATTTCTTTGGCTACGGTCAAACTAGAGTCTCAAGCCTGGCTTGACTCACCGCGGGTGAGATTTTCGTAACATGACCGCACCTGGATCGACTCGCGCCTGGCGTGACCTCGATCTCAATCTACCTATCTCGATCCCGGCTCAGTACCCAGATTGACCCTGGATTGACCCTGGAGTGACCGGGATTGACATTTCCTCGTCGGTTGTCGACCAATCACAGTCGATGACGCTGTTGCGTTTAGAATAAAAAACCTGCAGCAATCATCTGTTGTCATTTATAAATGCACTTATCAATCCGAAAACTAGCATCGCCATTACATAAGAGACTAGGACTCGCGCGCGGGGCCGGAATTTTGATTGTAGCGGCGCTCTAACTTCCTGTTTCGACTTTCCTAATTTGGAGGTCAATCCAACTAAATTCAGGTAAAGTGTGACCGACCCAGAATTTCGAGCCTGGCTTGAAATCTCACCCGCGGTGAGTCAAGCCAGGCTTGCGACTCTAGTGTGACCGTAGCCTTTATCGATGTCAAACATACCAAGGCTAACCAGCAAGTCTGAAGATTTCCCTACATGACCATTGGATGTAGTGAGATTGACTGTGAAATGATCCATTTATGTGATCTGTACAAACATTAAAGATACAATACTATACTATCATGATGTTGAGCTATAAACAGTTGTATAAATATTTGAAATGTGTGCTTTGCATTGAATTGCAAATAATAGGAAGAAAAAAAAAACACAATTCTTATATTCTTTTAGACCCATAAATTGGTTGGTGGTAGTCAATTTATATACCATTATTTATTCGAATAAACGCCTCGGGTTGTTTACTGATAAGAATGGTTTTTGGCGTGGTTTATTTTTAGGGAAGAATTTATTTCTCTTAGTGCAAATTCGATACGTATACGCAAATAATCTCAATAATTTCTCTGTAAATGTGGAACTAAAATACAACACGTAATTATAGTCAAAATGTGCTATTGCATGATCCTAAAGATTTGTTAATCCCAACATGGTAATCCTACTACATAAGATATTAATAGAATGTGTTGGTAGTGATGTTGCTTCCATTTAATTGTTGCTTCAAGTTAATTTTGAAGGAGGCATTTATTCCAAATGAGGCTCTGAAGGAGGCATTTATTCGAAGAGGGCTTTATTCTAATAAATACGGTATAAATCCTTGTAAATGATGGTCTGTATAACCAGCAAATAAATTATTTGTTTAAATCTGTTTATTATGAAATGTTAACTATTTTCTTCATTTAATGACAGAGGGTATATTAAAATACTGTATATCTGTTACAGACCAACCCATCAAGTCCCTCAGCCTGAGAGTCTAACACACCAATCAATATCTTAAACAAAATTATGATTCATTCCTAATAACTGATTAATAAAGCATGTGAGAAGCAAGATATCTACTTACGCATTGGACTGCTGAATATTTTTCCACCCCTGAGCAACATCTTTCTTGACCTCTGACATCGTTGTAATACCTAATTTTCGCTTCAATTCTTTGGCTGCTTGTTCTTTGCCACGAAGTGTGGATCGCAGGGCTGCTATGTCTTCCTCCGTCTATCGGAAAAAAATCAACAATGTTTGTAGAAACTCCAAAATTAAATTTGACATAAATGTAAAAACAATTATTTTGGTAACTTCGGTTAAAATTAAATAAAGGTATGTTGCTCAACAAGAGCTAAAAAAGGAAGTTGCCAGAGTGTACAAAAAGTATTCTAACTGTATTGCATATGTACCAAAAATTGAAGCTAAAATTGACTAGCCTTTAAGAGTTATTTGTTGATTTTCAAACTGTTATTTTTGCCTGAATTTCCAAACATGCATCACAAATTTTCATATTGCAAATATTGGTTTAAAAAAACCATCAGGATAGTTGAGCCATCGTACTGAAAGTATTCCATTATTATAAGAAGATAGACAAAAAAAAATGAATATGATAATCAACATAAATTAATCCATAAAATCTGGACTTAATTATAGTAGTAAATTTAAAGGATTATTTGTCACCTGCGCTAACTCCAGACGAATTTTTTCCCTCTCTTCTTCATTTTGGACCACATATGGATCTTGGTAGTTTGGATCCTGTGGAAATTCATTGGCTGGATCTGTCGGCGTGTCTCCATACACAGGAGTTGAGTCTGGGGACGATAATGTCGGTTCATCTGTGAAAAAAATATTCATGTAAAACGTAAATGTGAATGCATTGTATACTGTAATTGTTGAAATTCAACAAGGGAATTTAGATTAGCCGCAGTGCAGCATCTATCAAAGACAGTGGAAGATAATTCTATACTTTTTTAATGAACATTTTTGTGCACATAATGTATGCATTATGCACACAGGACCAACAGCTTAACATCCCAGGGGCGGATTGGGGGGGGGGGGAGTAGGCTGGCCCTAGGCACCCCCTACCTTTTGGAAAGCAAAAAAAAAAAAGAAAAGAAAAGAAAAGAAAAAAATTGATCGCCCAAAGCGTCTCAGAGGTTATATTCGGGCGTCTAGAACACCAAATTTACCTCCGAACCCTTAGGGTAGTTTTAACTCAATCAGCCCCCCACCCCCCATTTCGACATCCCTGGATCTGCCCGTCATCCCATCCAAAGAATGAGGTATTTAGGAAAATGCCACAAGTATGTACGACATTGGTCGGTCTTGAACTCAGTTCATCTCGCACCAAAGTCTAATTCTTTACTGGTGCGCATACTCGCATTTGCTAAATGTAGTGATTATGAGATATTAATTGCATGCATAGACATTAAATCTACTGTACGCAAACAACAAAACAACCATCAACACACATCAATAGTAATTCACCTCAAAATCGTTATAGTCTCATAAATATTCATGAGTTTTATTAACTGCCAATATGTGGAGCACTTAGTATGGACTGTAATGCATGGTAGAAATTACAGTATTTTCTGTTTGTTCTATCCACAAATGAACACTCTTGTGCATATGATTTTCCATAATCTTTTTTTCAAATTTGCAAGAATAAACCTTAATGGATAATGAGTAGACATAGTATACTACTTGGTCTCAATGTGCTATTTGCTAATTAAGAATAAAATTATAGGGTAAGAAAAACACAACACCTAAAGATGTGTTTTGAGTTTTAGTTTTAAAAAAGAGAGAAGGAAATTGGTTGGCAGGAGGATAGCTGACATTCTAACATTATGGGGCAGAATGATCTGTTCCCAAACATTTTCAGAAGATTATGGAGAATAATGTAAGGTTGTGGGGTTTTAGGAGTATCTTAGTAGGCAGGATAATTCTACATTCTACAGTCTTCAGTCACAACACTACTGTAGGTTCTTAACAAGACAGAATGTATTTTTCAAGTTTTTACAACATTGTTTTGTAGGTTCTAATAAGACCGAATGTATTTTTCAAGTTTTTACAACATTGTTTTGTAGGTTAAATAAGACTGAATTTATTTTTCAAGTTTTTACAACATTGTTTTTTAATTTATTGTTTTTTTTAAATAATTTAATGTATACAACTTATGTATTTGTACCTATGATCATTTTTAATGTACAAACAAAGATTACTATTATTAATATTATTCCAAATGATTCAAAAAAACAAATTTATGAAACTACTGTATAGAACAGCATTGCTTTCACAAGTATGGGCAAGTTTAGTTTACAGCTGTTTCATGCAGTAGCAATCTTCAGGATCCATTATCTTCCTATCCACTCACTCCTGAAGATATTGCATGAAACAGAGAGTAAATTTACGCTCACCATAACCTTTCTATTACTATTACGCTCTGCATTCGCATTGAGCATTATATGTCGCTGATCCTGACAATCATATTTTGTATATATATATATACATAATATATATATATATATATATATAATCAAGGTGATTTTGTAAGTCATCAAGGGTGAGAGGGCTCAACCGGTAGTAGACCAGGCTATAATTGAGATAGGTGCCACTTGGAGAGGTAGAAATTCTCATATGGTTTTTCTAGACCAGTTTTTCATGGGGAATCAGAATATGTGAGGTAAAAGACCTGAGAATTTTCGCGTGAGAGCGCTTTTTTCAAAATGGGCGCCAAAATCCAATAAACTACATATATATGGGTAAAATAAGCACAGAAGAGGTAGGTTTGACCAACTTTTAAATATGTAATGATAGGAGTAAAGTATAACTAGCTATAGTTATTAATGTGAAGATTTCGAGAGGAAATTGAGGGCGCTTTTTAAAATGGCCGCCAAAATTAAAGAACAATTCAACAGCAGCTTCAATACCCTAAATAAATTTGTTTAATTTACAAAACATAATGTAATAACTGCTGTTGACTTTTTAAACCCAAAATAACATATTTTAGGGTGGTAAGCTAACTCACTTTTGGAAATGTAAGTAAAAATTCCCCCTTATATTAGCCCTTTTCTGTTTTAAAAAATGGAAAATATTACCAGAATCCTAAAAAGAGTCCAGGTTTCTTACAAATATACGGTTGTTTTTTATTATTTTTGTGTACTACACAAGGTATTCCAGAGGACAACACAAATAACTACCATAATTTTCATGTATAAAGGCATTAATTCATTTATTACATAATTGTCCTTTACTGTGTAACCCTATGTTGATCAATAATCTTAATATATTGCTAATATCACTGCAATCTGACCCTCTCTCCGTTGTCATAAAATAAGATATACAGACCTAGCAACGACTGCAATATCGATGTCTCAAGAATGGAACGGTTGATATTTATGTATTGGTTGTAATTCCTTAAAGCATGCATTGCATGCAGGACAACTTTCGAGTCTACTTTTCTTGGTTGCTACGAAGATCTGGAAATAATACAAAATCTCTTTCAGTGACAAGGATGCATTCTCGCCGATAGCAATAGTATTCAAGAAGGTATCCAACCAGTTTGTCGAAATCCAGTTTGTTGAATCCAGTCGTTCACTGAAATCATGAAATCCCAGTTTGCAGAAACTCAGTTTGCCGAAACCGAGAATGCCCAATCCAGTTCACTGAAATCATGAAATCCCAGTTTGCCAAAACTTAGTTTTCCGAAACCCAGTCCAAGTCTCTGTGTTACAAAAGTACAGCATACTGTGCATTTGAAAGGAATGAGCTCTTCATTTGTGTACAAAGTAAAAGGAAAAATATTGGAAGAAAAAAACTGTAGAAAAACACACTTGAAAGCATGGCTATCAGTTAAAATTAGAATAAAATGAAATGAAATTAAGGATAAGCATCGTATCCTTCTAAAATACTCCCTCTGCAAACCCTATCAGGATTGTTGTGTCAGGTCCCTGACCACCGAGGCTCCAGTCGGCCCCTTGAGTCAGACCCCCTGTCGACAAATTTCTGGAGCCACAATCGGCATGTGTGTATAATTGTAGATTATTATTAATTTGTTTATTTCCTTCTTTGTTATTTGTTTTTATATAAATTTATGTAATTATCATAGGGCTGGTATGCTAATAAAACCTTTTAACTGCGAGGCCTATTAAATTGACTTTTATTTGCTGATAGCCAATTGATTTACATTTTAAAACAATAAGAATCATTTAACTACAATAAGCCGCTATTTCTTATACGAATACATAGTAAGAGTTATGCTTTGGTTAATGTTTTACATACTGCTTTTATTTTATTTCAACAAAGTGGGTTTCAGCGCAAACTGGGTTTCAACAAACTGGAATTTGTAGTTTTTGATGCAGCAAACTGGCATTCGGCAAACTGTGTTTTGGCAAAGTGAACTCGAAAATCTAGCCTGGGGTTCTACAATCTGGCGTAGAAGAAGCCGACACGAAAGTCTTCCTGTATGCAAAGCATGCTTTAACGAATAACAACCAGGGCATAGCAATCATCCGTTCCCTTTCTCGAGACATCGATATTTACAAACAATTACACCCCGGCTTTCTTTCATAAAGGAAAACATAGCTTCTGTATTCGCAAACTGTGTTTGCTGAAACTTTCAGCAACTTTGGAGTTTTAGATGTTCTGTCACAAAATTTGTCTGAAGGACAAGAATATGTCTTAGGCCTACTGCTGCTTGGAGTTAAGGAGAAAAGTGTAAATCAAGCAAGTAACATGTTCAATAGAAAGTTTTGCAGAGACAAGATCACTGACATATCATTGTTGTCACCATATTAGCAGAATCTCGAGCTTCTGCAGATACTTAGCAAAACTTAATCATTCAAGAATGAAAATAAGCAGAGGTAAATGACTGTCAATAAAAATAGTTGATGGAACAGATGGAATAAACAAATTCCCGTGGAAGTCCAAGAATTGTTCATACGATAAATACGAAGACTTTCAGATTGCAGTGATAAAAGTGATACCTGAAGATTATTGCTCAACATAGGGCTACACAGTTAAACACTACAAGACATGACAAATATGTAGTAAATGAATTGATGCCTTCTTCATACATGAAAATTGTGGTTGTTGTCTGGAATGCCTTGTATAGCACACAGAAATAATGAAAAACAACCGGATATTTGTAAGGAAGCTGGAATTTTTTTTTTAAGATTCTGGTGATATTTTCCATTCTTCAAAACAGAAAAGGGCTAATATAGGGGGGAATTTTTACTTACATTTTCAAAAGTGAGTTAGCTCACACCCCTAAAATATGTTGTTTTAGGTTTAAAAAGTCAACAGCAGTTATTACATTCATGTTTTGTAAATTAAACAAATTTATCTAGGGTATTGAATCTGCCGTTAAGTTGTTCTTTTAAAAAGCGCCCTCAATTGCCTCCCAAAATCTTCACATTAATAACTTTAGCTAGTTATACTTTACTTCTATCTTTACATATTCAAAAGTTGGTCAAACCCTACCTCTTCTGTGCTTATTTTAGCCATGTAGTTTATTGGATTTTGGTGGCCATTTAGAAAAAGCGCCCTCATGCAAAAGTTCTCAGGTTACACCCCTTTTACCTCACATATTCTGATTCCCCATAAAAAACTGGTCCAGAAATACCATATGAGAATTTCTACCTCTCCAAGTGGCACCTATCTCAATTATAGCCTGGTCTATTGGGAGCAAAATAAAACGAACAAAGTAGACAAACTTAGAAAAATTCCATATGCATTTATTACTACAACTTTGTTTCGTATGGATAGTTTTGTTTTGTATGTAGCGACAATGTTTCAACCAACATAGGCCATAAATTCCTATCTATCATTGATTCAT